TGAGTTTTAGGTCAGAATCAGTATCTGACTGTAGGTTATTGTGAGGGACAAAATAAATTGCCGCTGATGAAACAACTCAAGAATGCAACATTACATTTGGCTGTGTTGTGAAAAGTTTTTTTTTTTTTTTTAATAGATAATGAATTGACAACACATGAATGGTCAAACAACCAGCCATAGTTCTAAGGCATTATATTTTAAGTTGTCATTGGTATACATGTTTGGCCTTTGCAGGAAAATGATATTCAATACAAACAAAAAATACCCCTTAGATATTTTTCATTTTCTAGGTGCAAGCCCAGTCCCCAGCCTTATCGACCCAAAAGGTTTCTATCCGTCCAATCCAGTCAGGCAGGATGGGCATGCTCTGGGTCCCATCAGCTAAGGAATGCTGGTTGGCCAGGCCCAGAAGATGTGCCTTTTCTGCAATAGTGCCCACCTTCTGAAACATTCTCCCTCCGGAAATCAGGATGGTCCCAACCCTGCTGGCTTTTCGTAACTCCTTAAAGTCCTGGGCCTGGGCTAGGAGCCCCAAGTGTGTGCAGGGACCCATTTCTTGATTAATGCAGTCATTAGGATGGGTGATTTATTCTCAGCTATGTATTTTAATTTTTGTATTATTTTAATTGTTTTTATTTTTTAAATTTTGTTCACTTCCCAGAGTCACTTGGTGAGATTAAATAAATAAGTTGTTCATGTACTCACAGAATTACTGCCATTGAAGCGAGCAGGAAGTCTTCTGCCAGGCATCTTTGGCCTATTTGCAGTGGGATGTGATAAATTATCTGAGGTAGGTGTTAGATCATCAAAACTTAAAAGTTCTAGGAAAAAATTGAAAGCAGAAAACATATTGAAAGCTCAGGAGATTTTGACATAGTAGCTACTTTGAGATGCTGCTACCAAATTATAGTATAAAACCAAAATACTCTACATTCCACAACAGAAAATAATTGGAGCGAGTATTAATGGGCTGAAAGAGCATTCCATCTTTAAAATGTTGAAGAGGCAATACAATGTAGGAGAAACATACACATTTCTAATATGAGGATAGATCTCTTTCAAAACACTGAAACGGAGCATACAATTCAAGTAGTGAAGTTACTAAGCCAGCTCCCATGCTCTAGGTTTGTGACATGTCTCCCATGGGACGTGACCTAGAAGTATCTTTCTTATGCCAATTCATCTCATGCAAACCTCTTCATTTATATTGAATCTCCTGTTGAATCTCAGGCATATCAAAATTATGCCCACCCAACCCGATTACACACAGACTTTATTTCATGTTACAAGTAGTCCTTGGCTTATGATGGCCATTGAGGCAGGAATTGCCATCACTAAGCAATGCAGTCCTGAAACGTGACATCACATGACCACGCTGCTAAGCAGCGACAGTTCCAGCAGTCCTGGTTGCCATCGTTAAGTGAGGACCTCACACAACCATGACGTCTGACTTCCTGCTGGCTTCCCCACTGAATTTGCTTGGGGGAAGCTGGCAGGGATCGTAGGAAATTGTGATCACACGACCACGGGGATGCTGCGATGGTTGTAAGTCCTCCTTGTTCATCGTAACTTTGAACTGTTGCTGAATGAATGGATGTAACCTGAGGACTACCTGTACTCACAATATCTACTTAGTCTCAGACACAGTTAGTTACATTACTCACCCACAATTCATATACTTTCCTGCAGCGCTTGCAGAGTTCTCCTTCTAACATTTTTCATAGTACTATTTCTTCCCTTACATCCTTTCCTAGCAGTTGCAACTGTGTACAGGTAGTCCTCTTTTAGTGACCACAACTGGGACCGGCAACTCAGTCGTTAAGCGAATGGTCGCTAAGTGAAAAATCACATGACCACAACCGTGTTTATGATTTTACACAAGGCAATGCATACTGACTGCAATGGTGAACACATGACAGAAACAGAGAAGCTGCAAAGGTTGTAAATGTGGGTATTGGTTGCAAAGTTATTTTTTCAGCACCACTGTAACTGTGAACAGTCACTGTCCTAGGCAGTTGCTAAGTGAGGACTACCTCTACTGATGATTTCTTTAAATTTCTATTTCACAGTTGTACAAGAATAGCTCATCTCAAACTAAATTCTCACTTCTTGATACCTGATTTATCAAAAGTGCCTTTGATTAATTGAAACGAGGACCCTCACTTCTGGGAAAAAGGAAGTGAAGTCTCTATCAAAGATAATCTTTCTTTGTGTAAACAGAATGAGGGCCATTTACTAAGAATATCACCTTTACAAAGCAAAATCCCAGGAGAGATTGTATAGATCCCACGTAAAGACTACCAGAACAAAGTAGCAGGAGGCTGGTTCTAGAATGTTAAAGGAACCGGAAGAAGTGTAAGAAAGTATCTGCCTAATATCTAAAAAAATATTTGCTCGATCTGAGGGCAGGCTGGCTGTTCCAGTAAGGAAGTTCCACAAGCAAAGCTTCAGCACCTCCTCCTTGAATAACATCCACCAGGACACCTTCAGCAACAGGAACATTTGAAGGAAGGCTTAAAACAAAGACCTTACAGTTTAAGCAAATTCAGACCCAGGCCGCTGCAGGTTCAGAGATAAACTTGGCAGCCAGCTGCAACGTTTTTTAAATACGGGAGAAATTTCCCAGTAACCTCTTCAGGTTAATCTTGCATTTGTATTCTGTAATCTGTGAGGATATGAGACCCTTTGGAGTACTAGGCATGGATCTGGCCATGGTTGTCTGGGAACATCTTTTGAGATGGTATTCAGAAGGGCAGCCAATATTCCAACAACCCATCACATTTTGGCACCAGAATTGGTACAGTAATTATTCTTAACATTAATTTTTAAACTGGACATGTAAGACAGTATATGAATCTTTATTCTGTTGCAGGTGGCTGCTGCTGTTTTTGAGTTTTAGGTCAGAATCAGTATTTGTTCAGCACAAGTCTTGCAATTTTGTGCAGACCATGCATTGGTATTGAGCATGCTTCAACCTTCACTCAACCCTCTTAATTTGGAAATAAGGTTTAACTTAATTAAGCAGTCTTGTGCCAATGTTATTCTGTGATGTTACTGGCCAGCACAACTCAGCTTGTCTATCTACCCTCTGAATGTGGACTCAATGTTCAACAGTATAGTCTTGGGTCAAACTTTTTTTTCCTATTCTGTTTGCTTGGGGCAGGTTTTAATCCCTACACTGAGTAAATAGGCACAAAGCTAATAACAGGCTAGCTCCCAAAAGTTTACTACTCTTAAGAACAGAGGTGCAAGGCTAACAATAGATACCCCAAACATTTATTGTCTTTAAGCTAAGAAAGGCTTTGATCCATAAATTTTATAGGTCTGCCAGCTAGCCTGCTTCTGTGTGTCACAAAAACCCAGCTGGGTTTTGCTTACTAAAATAATCTAATGGTATGCATGGATCATTTACATTTCTGTCCACATCAGCCTACCTCCACCAAAGCTTATCTCCATTGTACAGCTGCTTCACTTGAATGGTTCTGTAATAATGTACACCTGCTGTCCCACCAACGTTCTCTGCCTGGTGTAATCACTTAACTGGGACTACTTCTACAGCACTATACAGGGGGGCAAAAAAGTATTTAGTCAGCCACCAATTGTGCAAGTCCTCCCACTTAAAAAGATGAGAGAGGCCTGTAATTTTCATCATAGGTATACCTCAACTATGAGAGACAAAATGGGGGAAAAAATCCAGAAAATCACATTGTCTGATTTTTAAAGAATTTATTTGCAAATCATGGTGGAAAATAAGTATTTGGGAGAGACAAAATGGGGGGGAAAATCCAGAAAATCACATTGTCTGATTTTTAAAGAATTTATTTGCAAATCATGGTGGAAAATAAGTATTTGGGAGAGACAAAATGGGGGGGAAAATCCAGAAAATCACATTGTCTGATTTTTAAAGAATTTATTTGCAAATCATGGTGGAAAATAAGTATTTGGGAGAGACAAAATGGGGGGGAAAATCCAGAAAATCACATTGTCTGATTTTTAAAGAATTTATTTGCAAATCATGGTGGAAAATAAGTATTTGGGAGAGACAAAATGGGGGGGAAAATCCAGAAAATCACATTGTCTGATTTTTAAAGAATTTATTTGCAAATCATGGTGGAAAATAAGTATTTGGGAGAGACAAAATGGGGGGGAAAATCCAGAAAATCACATTGTCTGATTTTTAAAGAATTTATTTGCAAATCATGGTGGAAAATAAGTATTTGGGAGAGACAAAATGGGGGGGAAAATCCAGAAAATCACATTGTCTGATTTTTAAAGAATTTATTTGCAAATCATGGTGGAAAATAAGTATTTGGGAGAGACAAAATGGGGGGGAAAATCCAGAAAATCACATTGTCTGATTTTTAAAGAATTTATTTGCAAATCATGGTGGAAAATAAGTATTTGGGAGAGACAAAATGGGGGGGAAAATCCAGAAAATCACATTGTCTGATTTTTAAAGAATTTATTTGCAAATCATGGTGGAAAATAAGTATTTGGGAGAGACAAAATGGGGGGGAAAATCCAGAAAATCACATTGTCTGATTTTTAAAGAATTTATTTGCAAATCATGGTGGAAAATAAGTATTTGGTCAATATCAAAATTACAGGCCTCATCTTTTTAAGTGGGAGAACTTGCACAATTGGTGGCTGACTAAATACTTTTTTGCCCCAGTGTACCTGCTAACCTGCCATCACCAGCATCTGCTTTTCTTCAACAACAGCCCCTCAACCTTGAATGCCACTTTCTCTTTGCATGCCAGCCCGCTTCTTTGCTAGTCTACTGCCAAAGCCTGCCAGCTATTTATTACCTCCAGTGTCACAGGCAGCATGTCTTGCACACTGGATGCTGGGAAGCAGCAGTGGAGGGAGGCTCTTGCCCTCTAGTCCAGGCTTGTCAGCTTCCCAAATGAACCCAGTTTGGCACTGTGACACAGAATGATGCACTACTTGGGCCTCCTTTATACTTCTTTATACTTATCAGAGTCTTCTTTATACTTAGGATGACCCAACTAGACTACTTACAACGATCCAATAAAAGGCTGTGTCATGTTTTGTTCCTGCCTCTGCCAAAGCCTGCCTCCTCCACCTGTTGCACTCGCTCAACTCTGAGAGCTTCTGAACAACACAAGTGCACTAGCCCTTCTGTCAGCAACTGACATCTATAATAAAGTTAGGTGGGACTAAGCCACCTCAGAAGGGCAATCCATCTAATCTCTAGCATAGAGTACTGGCAGAAAGTTACAGCTGGAATTGGTGTGTCACACTAATATTTACTACTGACCTTCCTGGATCATTTTTCAAAATTAGATATGCTTGCCAGGTCTAAAGAAGGTACCCCATGCCTGACAGTCAAGGAAGTAAGTGATCGGAGCGTGGAACAGTGGACTCTTTTTTCCAGATGTTGGTTCTGGAAACCCTGGAAGTTACATCATGCAAACACTTGTAAAAGGGCATTCATCCAGATAATGAGTCCTGCCCAGAAAAGCATGTCCCATCTGCCAGCCCAGAAAGTTTTTATTTTTAAAATGGAAAAGGAAAACTTTCAGTATAATCCCTGTATAAACTTATGACTGAAAAAACGAGGCTGCTGAGCTGTCCTTTCCATATCCCTGCTACCTCTTTCTTAAAGTAGATGCAAGAACATTTGAAAAATATATTGCAGTGAAATCCTTGAACCTATCTGAGTGAGATGTCATCTTAAGAGTCTATTTTCTCTGCTATTTTCATCTCATTCTGCCAAAATAGAAAATGGGAAAGCATTTTGATATCTCCCAAATATAGTCTAATGAAAACTTCTTCTGAACAGGATTCAGAATTAGGC